ATTGCAAAGCAATACTATAGGTGATAGGAGCTATATAGCAGCTATATGCTCAAGTAAGACAGCTCACTGAAGGCTACGGCCTCTGCCTGCGAGCGGGCGAGCCAGTGGCTGAGAGCGTCGGGTCACCCAGGCTTCGTTTCAGTCCTGGGGCCCGGATCCGGGATGAGGTCGGGTTCACGGTTTAGCGTTGAAGGCCTCGTTTCAGGGTCTTAGGGTTTCAGGGAGTCTTGGATGCAGAGTTGTTGAAATTTACCTTTACATGGACGTGGTTTGGAGCTTCAGGGCTGCAAGGTCTAGGTTCAGTTTTTTTCTTTTTTTTTCCGAGGGTTGACCGTGCATTTCCTGTAGGCTTCAGGGTGTCGCTTGTTGTGCAGGGGCTCGCACTAGCTTCTGCAAGGACTTCGGGGGATTGGGGGTTTGTAGAGCTTGGGGGTTCCAGCTCAGCTCTTGGGTTTCGTGGTCGGGATGTCTAGGTTAAGCGTTGTCAGTGAGCTTTAGCACATGGAGTGTGCAGGACCCTCAATTCCGACAAGCTTTTACCGGCGATACAGGACGGGCAGAGACCGATGTGTCGCTGTTCGAGGTAATCAGAACGGTTCACGTTCAGCTATGTGCATGTCCGCCAGGAACTGTGAAGAGATGTGAGTTAGAGCAGAGCAAAAGCAAGATTCCCGAACAGTGACAATCGAGATGAAGAAAAAGCCAAGTTCTGAGTGTTCATTCACATCCCGGTCCAATCTGTGGGATTATTGAATGACTAAACCCGGGTGTCGCGGACTTGATTGAGGCTGGCACTGCTTGACGACCTGCTTGAAGATGGAATCCAGACGCTTGGCACATTGCAGATCAGAAGTGCAAAGGAAGTGGTCGCGGAGGGAGGTTGCTGTTGCACCCAGTCGCAGAAATTGTTGATGCAAGACCCGGGCCTCGAAGTCATGCGGCGAGCAAGCTGCTTTCAGTGGCTCATTGAAATCACAAGTTCGGGGATTTGTTCGGCATTTGTGTTTTGCAGCACGTGGCATGAGATGGCATTGGGATTGCAGGCGTTCGTGGCCTTACATGTTTGCTTGCTGGCACCAGTTTCTGCCATTGAAAAGTCATAGCTGGAGGCCGGATGTAATTTGTTGTGCCTCAGCTGCATTAAAAAAGATGCGACCCGTCTTTCCCTTCACTTCTGTACTAAGTACAATTGCATTAATGACAACTTCTGCAGCATCGATCTACCCGTGAGTGACAAACGAGCAACTTGCCTGAGTCCTAAAGTCCTAAAGCCGCTTTCGTCTTGTTAGGTGGACACTGGCGAGAGGAAAAGGGTCGTGCAAGAAAAAGTCCTAAAGCCTTTCATTCATGACCTGTCCTGTGATGGGACGGTCTGCATTGTACGCGGCTGCTCTTCCCATCTCTGTCTCTTGGATCCTCCAGGCAACACCTTGATCGGTGCATGTGCGACAGGCCGGGCATGGCTGCTCGATAGACGGCAACACATCTCAGTACTACGATTACGGCTAATCATGAGATGTTGAGAATCGTGAAGTAGCTTACGGAACGGTAGTGCAGCAACGAGAATACTAACAGGATTCCAGCTACTGGAAAGATGGGTGCTGTCCAAGTAACGACCCTTTCCCTTTCCCCCTGTCCTGCAGCAAGCTAAACCAAAATCAAGACCCTTAAGCACCCGAAACTGTGCAACTCCCTTTAACCCTAAAGCTTCAGTGTGAGGCACGCCTCCAAACTGTCAGAGAAAAGCAGGGATCGATTCCTGTTGCGGAATGGCACAACATACTCGACAGACAGCCGCTCCCGATGGTCCGAAAGCACATGTCGAAAGTCCGGAACTCGAACAATCCTGAAATGTGACAGAACGGCTTGTGCCCCCAACCATGTAGGACCTAACAGCAGGCTTGAACTGGCAGCTTGCTCTGGCGATGCTACAGAGGATGCCAGAGCTGAAGGTCGAGCCACTTGGCGAGTTTGGTAATTGAGATGGTGATTGTTACTGCAATGGTGACGACGGGTCTGATGCTGATGGTGGTGATGGCCTTCAGCATCATCGGGACTTCTTCTGCTTCATATCACATTTTCATATTATACCTACCTGCTAGCAGTAGCGTAGTGGTGCTTAACATGGGCATGTTTGTCCTTATGACGTTTGAGGAGTGGCTTTTCTAAACCAGGCTTCCTGCTAAGGTGCTCGCTTTGATCTTACTTTAGTTACTGATTCGATTGAAACGCTGTCTCGCGCAATTAACACCACCGAAACACCTAAGCTCTGCCGGGTTGGGAGCCAAGACTCGAGCTGCCTTGTTGGCCCTACAAGGTCCGAGCAGCTCACCTACCGTCCCGGCCTCATCCGCAATGCTGGACCCATTCGTTTCAGCTGGGCCATCTCACCGACGAGAAGCAAGCGCATAGTGTTATTCCACGCTACACCCTGCATGATGCTTAAGCGCCGAGTAGCAACCTCAAAAGACCCCTACCGTCGAGCCTCCTTCCTGAGTCGAGGTGCAGCGCTCCTGGCAGCTGCTCGGGCAGATGCTTGGTCCAAAGCCTTGGTCCTGCAGGACGGCTCCCATTCCACACACACACACAGATATATATATATATATATATGTATATATGCATATGTGTGACATGATGTGATATTATATATATATATTTATTTATTTATTTATTTATAGATAACCTTCTAACCATGCACATGTACTGATGCTTTTTTCTGTCATCGTGGGCGGCCTGCTTCACTCGTGCAAGGACGACATGCGCTCTGCATCGCTTCTGCTTGATGCAGCCTGCACAGCTGGCATGTTGTGCGATGACCTTCGTGTTTCAGAAGAGGTCGCCTTTGGGGGGCATGGGTTGTACAGTGTGGGATGTCCACATACACGGTTTCATAAGTCTACAGCGTTCTCTTACTCCGGCCTGGAACCACGAACAAGGCTGTCCCAGAGAGGCCTGGGATCCATCTTGGATGCTTTGGCAATGCTTTGGGTTCCACGAAAGGCCTGCAGACAACTAGAAAGTTGGAACCACGAACCAAAACGTCTCTCAGAAAGTCCTGGGGAGCAATCTTCCAGGCTTCAGGGCTGACGATCGAAGTAAACACATATTGTTGTAGGTTTCCGGGCCTGGTGGACCAAGATTGCTCCCCAGGGCTTTTCATTGCATCTTGTGTTTGGTTCCCGGCCTGAAGTTTTGTGTTGTCTACCTTTTAATCTCTCAAGATTAACGCGCTGACAGAGCGGACTTTCGTTTGTCACACCCGCCTCCATTGTGTTGTGGCCTGGGCTGCGCAAGGTTTGTTTCTGTAAAGCAGTTTAGGGGTGTCTAGCTCCTGTGGCGGCGATCTCCTCTTCGTGACATCATGCAGGGCCTGGCAAACTGCCGTGCATGCCCCCTGTGCCACTGGCCGACAGACTGCTGTCTGCACAAAGTCTCGGACAGGTCACAGCACTCTCCTTATGGTTTGCCAGCAACTCAGCCTCCGTTTGGTGCTGGGCTTGAAGCGCATCAGTCGCGCCCTCTAAACGAAAGGTTCCCGAGCAGGTTTTCTTGGCTTTAAGAGAGTAGTAGTCGCATGGACCCTGCTGCAATGCGACCGCACGGCAAATCAATGTAAATCATCAAAAGTCACGCACGAGAGAGAGAGAGAGAGAGAGAGAGAGAGAGAGAGAGAGACCGAGGAGGAAAGGTGCGCGTGGGTACGAAGGTTCAGGAGCAGATTGTCGCTAGTCTATCTTTGTAGACTCCGGGCTTAATCTACTCAAGCTTGGCTTTCTGAGTCGGTAAGCATGTGCCTCGGGGCATGCGTAACAATGGCAAAAAGGGTACCGACAAATCGCCATGCGGGGTCTCAATCTGAAAGGCCCAGTAAGCAACGGACCAGAGAGCAGACAACCACAAACAAAGCAGCAAACGCAGCAGCAAGAGCACGACTGACCTGTCTGCATTCGGACACCCTCCGTCCCTTTTTTGGACAAACGGAGAGCAGCTTCAACCCTTGAGCAAAGCGACTTCAGAGGCCAGCAGCACGACCTGGGACCCCTGGAGGAGCGCCAGGGCTTGCTGCGCACCATGTGGGAGTTTCGGTGTAACTACCTGGTAGGAAGTCCTCAAATGGACCACGGATTTACGAGAAATATGCAAGCCACCCAAACAGTCGATGACACGACATCTATGCCTATGCTCGAGCCTTACGGGTTCAGAATGCGGTCCCGGAAGCATCTGTCAAGCTTAAAGGCGACCCCAGTGTCCAAGATACACTGCCTGGTGTGCACGCTGCTGATTCAAAAGCCCATTTCAGAGCCCAAACAAAGATCGCTGTGTCGTCCTCATCTGTTTCTTTTCTTCGCGACTTGGTGTAGCCTTGAAGCAAGGGGGGGCAGATGTTTGGGAGCCTTCCGAGTGGAGCTACTTTGGATTAGTTGTTTGGCTTATTGGCCTTATGAAGGGCATAAGATCTGAACATGGTTCGACAGCTGCCCAGCCTACAGATGGATGCCCACCTGCGCGGGTTCCCTCCTTTGCAAAGCTTGAATTTGACAACCCACAATCCATCAGCCAGAGGCATCTCAAAGGCGCATCGGACGGTTACGGGAAAGTGTAGGTTCGTGAATCAGCTACTAGGGCAACGTCTACTGTAATCTTTCACAAGCCGGTTGGAAGTCTAGGTCACGGCATTCTGGCGCAAATGCTCGCACTTTGGAGGAGCAGTTGTTGCAGGAACTGTCGGCGGAAGGCCTTTGCACAGGGATGATCTGTGGTTGGCATGCTTCCGGGTCCTTGCCTCGCAGTCTGCGCCGTCTTATGTTGCCGCCTGCACAAAGGTATGACGTTTTTTTTCTTTAGTCTACCGTCCCGATATTGGATTGTTGCTGTTCTATTCATGGCGCAGTGCTGTCAGGACCATCCACGATTTACGCTGCAGTTTTTCAGCTCGAAGGGCCCACACGAAGCCTCGAAGCCTTGAACTCTGCTGTTTTAGTGCGGCAGCCGGTCTCACAATGAGTCCCCGCCGAAGCGGACGAAGCTTTTGGGCTTTGGCCGTTGCTGCTGCCTGGATGGGCTCGGTTTCCCGCCAATCTTGGAACTGTTCAGATCGGTGGGGTGAGACAAGTCGTGTAGAGCCAAACACCCTCATATAAGCAGCCAGTTACCCATCTATTGACGAAAGTGACTACAGGAATCAGCGCACGACGAATTCCTTGCTTGCGTCTCTGTAACGCAGTTGTACATGTTCGCCCTTCTGAGCTTTAAGGGAAGTGGGGGCATTTTGGCTGTTCTCAGTGCTTACAGGGTTGTCGTCACGGTTCGAGGCGGAGGTTGTGTAGCTTGACGGTCCGGAGTTGGGTGCAAGACCCTTACATCTATAGCTCTGACTCGTACAACGGTACACCTAACTAACTGTAAGGTTCCTGAACTCCGCCTCGGGAAAGCCTTTGCTGCTTTCAGAGCTTGCCTTTGCCAGAATGCCCTTGCCAACACGGCTGTCACTACTATGCCAGCGGCATTGGAAGATGTAGTGGCACCGTGTAGCGCAATGATGGTCAATGAGATTGGCAGCATGCACGTGCTCTCAAGCATGAGTGTACAAGGTTGCAGTAGTCTTTGGACATGCCGGTATCTTCAATCTTCGTATGCCCAAGTCACGGAAACGGTGCCCCTCGAAGTCTTGGCAGCACCATGTGGGATCAACGGCCGTGCCATCATGTCTTCTCTCAAAGGTGTACTTCCTGACCACTTCCGCCTTCCGTGTCCTCGCGGTGCTCAGTGATGACAGCATACGTGAGGCCAGCACAGGCCAGATCTGTCTGACAGAGAGATTTATCAGTAAGCGAACAATGGGGATTGGGCTTGACGTTGAGGGTGAACTTGGGGGTCGTACATTTTCGGCTGGGTGCTGGAACCGTGTTGAAGGCTTTGCTCTGACTAACATCTAGTGAATCTAGTGCTTGTTTGGAGTGTTGCAAATCTTGCTATCCTGCTTTGGCTCCAGACAAGTTGCATACGAAGTGCTGGCAAGGAAGTGCTTGCTCTCCGCCCGCCAAACGACAGTATCTCGCAAAGGGAACCTTCCAGGGCCCCAAGCAGACGTCACAGGTGTTTCTTTTCCCGCCCACGTGAAGAAGTCGCAGAAGTGGGTGGCGAGCGGTGCCGGCCTAAGCTTCACCACAAAACACAGGATTTGTGAAGTCATGGCCGCGACGAGCAAGTGTACTACGCGCACGACTTTCCTTCGGCTCCCACTGCATCTCAATGTGTCTCCATACATACATACTTACATACATACATACATACATAAGGGCCGTACATACATACCAGGACATACATGCGTATAGCTTTTAATCATACTACATTTACATACTTACGCACATCCACGCATCCCTCCCTCTGTTTTACGAAGGTGTTTATCCCTGCCGGCTGCCGTGGGTCTCTCTTTCCGATTCCCGCCCAGACTTCCTGAAGGGATGTCCTCGTGCCAGGCAGGATCAGGCAGGTCTGTATAGGTGTCAGCTGACAGTAGTATGACGTAGTACTATCCCCAGGTTCACTGCACGGGTCGTTTTCGCGACAACCTTCGAATCAGAGGACTCGCCCTCCCCTCCCTCGCTCCGTCGCTCCCCTGCTCCCTCCCTGCACTTATGTATGCATGCTGCATGCAAAAACACACATGCACATGAGTATGCACACACTATAATGTATTGCAGCGGCAAAGGGGGCAATGTTTCCGATCCTTCTCAGATGTAGTAGCGGATGCCGGTCAGCTCATCCATGAGTGAAGCCTTGAGCCACATCGACAAAGGAGTCCGGCGCAAGTTCGGCTGCTTCCATGCAAGAGTACATCTTGTTTGGACGGGCGGTTCTCGCTTTCGTCTTCCTGCTGTATGCGGTTGGTTGTTGTTGCTACTGCCGTTCTTCGTCCTGTTGTCGCTGTTGCGGTTGCTAGTGTTGCTGTCGGCCGTTGTGGCTTTTGCTGTTGCTATTGTTGTCGTTGTCGTTGGTGCTGTTCATGTTCTTGTGTGCGAACTGATTATCGTTGTTGTTGTCTTTGGTTGTTTATTTGTTGCTCGTCTCATTTCTGCGATGTCCATCATACCTGTCATGTTGTTTTGTTTAGTGTAGCGGTTTGTGGTGTGGTTAGGTTTGTTTCTTGTTGGTTGCTTTGCCGGAATGGTCCTGCAGTTCTACAAGTCCAGCAACTGACCGATGGTTTAACAGGTAAAGGAGTATTTGCAGGGTGCGGAGTTGTTGGCCCAGTAATGCCTTCACCTACGAAGCGGCTTAGCTTTACATAGCTTTAAGGCTTTGGTGCGGGTTTTCTCGAGTAGCTAGGATTGGCAAGCTAGTCGTAGAGTTCGTTGGATAGTTGCTTAAGACTTCGGCATGCGAAATACTTAGCGGCTTGACTCTTTACTTCGAGGGTGACTCGAATATTAAGGCGCATCAGTCAACGGTGAAGAAGCTTGACAAGTTTGCTTAGTTTCGTTCACATGGTCAGCATATCCTCAAGCTGCTGGAGCTTACTTTATACAAAAAGATGCTGCATAAGAAGTGGACTGCGAGACGCATGTGTGCGAGACGAGGAAAACTCAAAGTCTACGCCATGGCGTTCTATTTGGACAGCTGGGCGGTCCTTGCATGCCATCACGAGATGTAATTCAAAATTTAATTGGCAACCGCAGCCTTCGAATGATCGCAGATATCGGTTTCGTGCATGTTCCGAAAGGAGGGGTGTGCCACGTCCCGCGAGGAGGAGAGTAGCAAGCTGTGGGGATCGTCCTCGGTGGCGATGCGCGATGTGCTGCAAGAAGCCCCCGGCCCCTCGGCTATGCTTGATCGCGCAGGAACAAAGTGGTTGTCAGTAGGTGGAGAACACGCCAAGGCTCGCTACTCGAGCTGCGCTCGGGGGCGAAAACCTACCAAGAATGTCAATCACATGCAGAAAAAGCCACAAGGCTTCCACCACTGGTCCCCCACTGTCAAACACATTAGCTACAATAGCTCCAAACACACTTTGCAGGCGGTACGGCACAGCCTGATCCCTGTGAACAACCTTTGGACGATCATGGACCCGTTGCTAGAGCCAGCATCTTTGGCGTCATCGACATGCAGCAAGCTGCTATGGGTGCTACGACGAATGCTGGCATGTAACTTTTGCCGCAGCAACATCAATCCCAACCCCACAGCCATGAACATGACAGAATCAACAACAAGTGCAACACACTGCTATATCGCCGCCGCTGCTATCACCACCACCAGCACACCACCACCGCCACCGCCACCGCCACCACCAGGGTTTGGGCGCACTGGGCAGTCACAGCATGCGTCGAGACAGAGGCACATCCTCGATGCGTACTTCCTATTCAGCCAAAGTCAGCCAGAAGCATTCATCCACGCAGGCCGCGCCAGCTTGCGGATTGCGGGGAGCTGAAGTCCAGACTCGTCGAAATCCACTGTTTGGGCTTCCCAGGGCGGAAGGATTCAATAATTTGATTCCGCATGCAGACGCTTCCCGGGATCACCGTAAGGACAGTCTATCCGGGCCGATTGAGGGCCAGGCCCAGATTGGATTTCTGGGTGCTTGACCGGTGGTCAGCTTTCGGGATTTCGGTGCGACCTTTCAGAAGTCGGCGGTGGGTGTGACCTGAAGCTTGACCCAACATCGCTGTTGCCGATGTGAGACCTCTGCAGCTGGCTGGCTTGAGCAGTGCAGCATCAGCATTGAAGCCGTAGCATCGCCCAGAGGCCGCAACTCGACAGCCCCAGTCACCTCTAACTCATCTTCCTGTTGGACTGGTAACGAGGGCAACAGCTGAGCTTCTGGAGAACATAGACATATAGTTATAGATCAACGGATGCTGAAGTATTATTTGGAACAGGTTTGCAGAACCAAGCATCCCCCGCACATCCCTGGACTCCATAAAAGCTTCAACCTCATGGCACATGGATGACCCCGAGCGCCGCATCTTGCAGCTGGAGCTCCGACTTAAGGAGCGCGAGGCGAGACACAACTGGAAGCGCTCGCAATTGTAGTGACTGCACCGTTCGGCATTTCCAGGCGTGATAACACAAGCCTCGCGTAGAAAAGGTTTCGGTTTGAACGTCTTCGAATTCCGGAATAGCGACACGTGCTTTTGTTCAGAAGAAGCTTCCATGCCGGTTGGACTCGCATGCCTGTAGAAACAACATGTATGTTAGAGTGATGTATCTACAGAAAAGCGTTTCGGCCAAGTCGGGCGTACTTGCCGTGTCGGACTGTGATGGTGCAGCAGTCAGGCTGCAGCATTGTTGGGCGTTCACCACGCCAGGCGCAACTAGCTGCAGAGCGCGAGAAATGCGACAAGGCCAGGCTGGACGAAGATGACTGTTCAATGCTGGGATCTGCTGGCGCGATAGCTGTTTGTGCTTGGCACATCATGCATAGCTAGATGGGCGGTCTCTTGTGTCCACGTATGCGGTTTCCAGCCAGACAACATGAGGCAACTGTCGATGCACATTTGCACTAATCGACGGCCTACTCCATCCCAGAAGCACCTGCTTGTCGCACAAAGTGTTTCTTTGAGGCGAAGAGGAAAGTCCGGCAGCTCCTGGCAAAGATCTCGGAGCGCGACCGGAAGATTGCAAACCTAAGCGGCAAGCTTGAGGTCCCGAGCTCAGACATGAAAGGCTTGCGAATCCGGGTTTGTCTCCTGGGAGTTCGTATTGAAAGGATCCGGATATACTGCTTGTACAAGGTTGTGGCATGTGTTCAAACTTTCTTTTGCTCAGCAAACCTTTGCTTGTCAGAATGTCTTGCTTCTTAGCCGGAAGAAGGCATCGCATGGCTAAACGGGCCTCTGTAAGTGCCACAAGGTGCTTCGGGTAAGCACACATGCATGTCCACACAATGCAGGCCGAGGTGGCTTTGCGCAAGTCGAATGGGCGTCTCGGACCTATCGGAAGGAATTGCTACAGACCCTGTAGGCATGCTGTGCGAGGATAACCGTGCCATAGCTGCATACATTGAATCCCCTTTGGGCATGGGTTCATAGAGCGCGCACGATTTGGCGTATATAGGCTAAAGTGTTAGGTGCATCTAGTAAACTAGTACCTATATAACATTATATACCGTAGGCCTGACCTGTACAGCTTGTGTCCCGAGCAAGAGAGAAAGAGAGGGAGAGAGCCCTTCCGTGTCCCAACCCCGAAGCAAAGCAAAGCCCGGAAGGGCGGACTGTCGAGGGGTAGGCCTTCGGGCCTGGGGACCACGGTCCCCATACCCCAGCAAGCAAGGGAGAGAGCGAGAGAGAGACGGACAGACGCACGGATGGACAGATAGTCCGAGAGAGACAGAAAGACAAAAAGAGCACAGAGGGCCACTTCGCCCCTGCCTTGAACAAGACGAATGGATGCTGGTGTATTGAGCACTAATCACCCCTGGGATCACAAGCCCTTCAAGCCTATACGCCCTAAGGACGCACAAGTCCCAGTTTCCCCAGCCCTAGAACCCGCGTCCTCGTAGCCCCGAAGGTATGGCGGCGAGAGCCAACAGGCTGTTGCCGCAGACTTGGCCAAGCAGCGTGCAGCAATCGTGGCACAGCTGGAAGACCATCTGGCGCAGATGCGACAGGAAGCGGCCTGGAGGGCTTCTGATTCTGGGGCACGGGGGTAGGGTCCGATTAGCGAGGTTCAGATTGCTGGAGGTCTTGTTCGAGCCTACAGAAGTTATGGGGATTATGAGGCTTCGAGCTTCTAAGGTCTTTGTGTAGAAGGTGTGGGCATATGAAACACTCAGCCTCGTTTCGATTGAACCATTTTCCTGAGTCCGATGTTTTGCCTTTTCAGGCTCCTGCTTCAAACATCATAGATCGCCACAAAACTCTGAGGGACCCCTGAATGAGTCCCTGATCCGGAGCAACCCATGCATCGATACTCCCAGTGAATGCAGCCCCTTAACCGCGGAGTCCCATGAAGGAAGGGAATCCTAAGCCGAGAAGCCTCACCCTAAAAAAAAGGAAACCCTAAACCCTAAACCCCAATTGTGTGGAGCCTTGCCTGCTTGGTGCGAGTGTGAGAGTCGAAACCCCAATCCTGACAGCTGTCCCAAATCTAATTCGAAGGACTTGCTCGAATCGGAATACGAGATCCAGGAGCTCGAGTCCCGACAAAGTTGCAAGGAGGACCCCCATCGCAGGATTGGGCCAGCGGATAGAGTTTCTTCCTTGCCTTGATGCGTAGGATCCAAGCTTAGGGGAGTTGAAGGTTTAGGGCCTGTAGAGGCGGATTGGGTAGTTAGTTTCTGTCATCTTCGCGGTTCCAGCTTTCTAGGCGGCTTCGTATTCTGGTATACATAAGCTGGCCCGAGAAGGGGAAGATTTAGCGGTGCAGTTTTGCTTTTCAAGTTGATGTACCAGTTCTTATGTTGAAGCTATATTGAACTCGAGAACCCAACTTCGAAAGGAGGAGCTGGGCCTTTTGGCGATGTCCGACCGCAGCCCCGAACGCATGCAAGCGTTGGCCATGATCGGCCTCCAGATTCAGGACTGGTGGTGTGAAAAAGCTAGTATACCACAGTCGGGATTAGGAAAACTTGTCACGCACGCACACACACACACACACGATATCATATACTACAATATACTATAATATTACAATTGACAACAGTATGTCAACTCTTAGCCCTTTTCAGCGGTGTGTGCTAGCAGGCTTTTTCAGCCGGGCACCGGAGGTGCATGAGACGACGAAACGCTGCCGAGACGGCTAAGGATTCAACATAGTGAGAGGGTTTAAAGATCAGATGTTATAGTACATTGTCGTATATTGTCGGGTATTGTAGTGTTCTAATAGTATATGTTAAACGCTTCGCGTCGTCCGCCTCCGTCCGGCTGTACTTGAAGCTGGTGCCTTACTTGGGAAAGCAGCGGGTAATGAGGTCTTGCGTGAATGCTGAGTGCATTCGCTTCAGAATGTGTTCTTAATGTTATTATTTGTTTTCATGCTGAGGGCTTCGAGCAACAATCCGACGAAAAAAGGTGGCACATTCCCTGCATTATGCTATGGACGTTACCATATAAATCGTATTACACTTTTCTCTACAACCTCCCACATGTTGGAAGGGGAACGGGGAATCAGTCTTTGTAACAAAGAATAAGACACAGCCCCAGAATTCCCACGATTTGGCATCAGCTTCACGAATGATATAAGCTAGCCTGTCTTGCCTCGCCGCAAGGAAGAGACAACGCCAGGGGAAAAAGGAGTGGGCGGGGTGTGGGTGGGGTCGGGGCGGGGCGGGGGCGAGGAGGGTGCAAGAGCAGAAAAAGACGCGCAAGTAAATGGAGGTACCAACCCGACATCCAATTTTAAGGTGCGTGGGGGGGGGGGGGGGGGAGGATGGGCTTAGGGATTAGGGTTAGGGTTTTAGGGTTTTAGGGCTTTAGGGTTTTAGGGTTTTAGGGTTTTACGGTTTTAGGGTTTTAGGGTTTTAGGGTTTAGGGGTGCTCCTTCAAGGGCTTAAAGTCGCGTGGTTCAAAAACCGTTTCCATGTCGTGGTGCGTGCGCGCCCGCGTAATCTTAACGTCTTCCAAAGGGTTCGTTGATAAAGGATCGTTGGAAGGGTTCTTTCAAGTCTTCCTTAAAGTCTTAAAGGGTTCCTGACGGTTCTTTGGGGTTTAGGTTTTAGGATTTAGGGTTTAGGGTTTAGAGTCTATAGGGGTTTAGGGTTTAAGGTTTGCCCGTGAGGCTCAGGTGCCTCCAAGCTCAGTTCTTTTCGGGGTTGAGGGTCCAGGGGTTCAGGGGTTTAGTGTTTTGGGGGTTATTAGGGTTTTGGCAGGGTTTGGTCCCAGGGCTCCGTAAGGTTTTATCAAAGCTTTTACCGCTGGCTTTTTTGTTGGTCTCGGCGCGTGTTTTTTTAGTTCAGGTTTCACGCAGCCGATCGTCGAGGATAAAGAGATAGGATTTAGAATTCGATCTTTGCGCATAGGTGGCGCTATAGGTTTTTCGTTCACATGCACTCCATGTGTATGTTTTTGTCGTTGTCGTTATCATCTACTTACATTGTACTTGTCATAAAGGAAGCGTGTGGATAGAATCAGTGGTTTGTAAAAAAATGTGGACACGGGTTTTGGAAGGATCTATGTTATTGCAATACTAACGGCATTAGGGAACCCTACTACTGAATGCTAGTAGTACCAATTCAGGTTCCCATATCAAGCTTGTGGTATGATTTCCCTACCCCTAAACCCTAAACCCTAGACCCTAAACCCTACACCCAAATATCTCCACCCCTTCTCTGAGCATCTACGTATCTAAACCGCTAAATCCCCAACCTCGCCTTCCCTGAACCCCTAACCCTCAGAATCCTACGGTTTAGGGTTTAGGGGTTTAGGGTTTTGGGTAACCCCCGAGGCCCTTTGATTCCCAAGCCCTGAACCTTAAATCCCCCAAAGCCCGTAACGTCTAAGCCCCATACCTGGACCTCCTAATTTAGTCACGGCTTGCACACTGTCAGTTCCCGCACGCAAAAAAACATGGCAGGGAATGCTTTCTGTGCCACTGTCTTCGGGCGTAGGGCAATAGGATTTAGGATTTAGGCCCTTCTGGCTTCAGGTTTGGAGTGTGTTCGGTTGTGTATGGGGGTTCTGGAAAAGACGCGTTGTCCCTATCAACCTATTGTGGAGCTAAATTTTGTTTTCACACAAGGCAGGTGTAGGGTTTCTCTAGGGCTACGGTTGATGCTCTAAATCCTGCATGACCCATTATAAGGAATATACCATAATTCCCATAGTTTAGGGTCCTTAAGGTAATGCAGGATTTATATCATCAACCGTATTCAGCAACATTGAAAGCCGTAGGCCTGCATTGGAGGCATGTTGTTCTTCTACGGATGCCCGCAGCCTCCAGTCAACAAGCGCGATCTGCTGCCGCCAACCGCGGTTGCACTGTTGCTGGGCGGAATAAGCTTCAGAAGCGTACCTACAGTATTTAAAACTGCAATCTTGGAGCGATCTTACTGTTGGTCTACATTCCGATCATCTCTGCAACCTTCCCATCCGAAATGTGCTCCAAACTCAGGCGAAAGCCAACATCCTGAATTCAGACCCCAGAACCGTAAACCCTTAGATCAGGGGGCATACACCAACACCTTCAGAGGACGAGAATTTTGACGGACCCACCACCGGGAAATGTTGAATCCCTGACAAAGGGATTACGGCTGTTGGCTCTGGAAACTTCGTGCTTAGTTTAGGAAAAAGTAGATGTCTTCGAATTCGATGGCTAGGTTTCGTATGTTTCGTGTGTGAGGTTTAGAGTTTTAGGTCTCTGGGGCCAACAGGCGAAAACACAAGTCGATGAAGGCTCAGCTAACAGAGGTGAATAAGCCCAAACTACTCTTGATCCGATCCTGAGCCCAATATCGCATATCGCAAAAACCCATACCCAAAACCCTATACATCTTAGAAGCAGCACTCTTCAAAACGGAACTATCCGCCCAAGCTACTCGGCTACGACTTCGACGTTCAGATCCTGGTAGGAAGCTGCATCAGTCTCAAAATCCAACATAGAGATGCCCTCTAAGCCAGTTCATCTGCTCAAGTCCATGTCTACACAGCACTACACCTCTGCGTGTACGCTCCACCACAGTGTGTCTTCATGATTACGGCGCTTGATTGCTGGCTGGGGTGCGCAGTGTGACTCCAGGTCACGGCACAGAAAGATTCAGAAGGTGAAGGTCCAAGCCAAAATCCGGTAGCCAGCCTTACCCTAGCTCGAAAAGAGGCTCGGGGGTGTCAAGAACCTGACGGAAAACCAGGCACGGTTCACCGATACAGTAGAACTGACACATTTGAGATTGCCAACCGACAGAACGAGTTCGGAAGAATGAACACTGCTTCGACCCGAAGCGGCACACAGCGTCCTGATACTTAGAATAGGGTTTCGGTGTATATTATACGATACCTGTACTAGGGAACCCTAAGGAATAGTATTGGAAACTTATTCCCGCTTCTAAATACATACATATCTATATATATATATATACATATATGTATACACATATATATA